TGGGAGGAGATTGTAGTTCCTGATGTCTGCAAGAAGGTGGATGTCAATTTGGTTTGTAGTTGGTGAAATTGAATATTTTTTGTAGACTCCTAAAAAGATGTTTAAAATTATTTTTTTGAATTTTTGAAATTTTTGTTGATTTTTTCAAATTTTTTGATGTTTTCCTCTTTTGAATTTTTTTGAATTTTTGAAATTTTTTTAAATTTTTGAAATTTTTTGACTTTTTGAAAATTTTTGACTTTTCGAAATTTTTTGACTTATTGAAACTTTTGGTTTTTTTTCAATCTTTTTGATTTTTTAAAAAAATTTTGAAATTTTTGATTTTTTTTCAAATTTTTTCAATTTTTTTGAAATTTTTGATTTTTTTTTCAAATTTTTTCAAGTTTTTTGAATTTTTTTTGATTTTTTGAAACTTTTTGACTTTTTAAAATTTTTTGACTTATTGAATTTTTTGTGATTATTTGAAAATTTTAGATTTTTTCAAACTTTTTGATTTTTTTGAAAATGTTGGATTTTTTTAAAATTTTTTGATTTTTTTCCAAAGATTTAATTTTTTTTAAATTATTTTTTTTTTTGGTTTTTTTTTGAAAAATTGAAAAAAACTTACCTAATTTGCCTCTACTCAAAGAATTAGCCAGAAAATCGACTATAAATTGATAAATATTTCTATCGTCTGCCATAAAATCATCTTTATAATGCTTGAGTATCAAAAAATGCCGAATATCCTTCGATTTCCAGTAAATTAAAAATCGGCTGTTTCTTTTCGATGACAAAAAAATGATGACCGACTTGTTGCTGCATTTTACACTCAATTGATCAAGGTCAACTGCACATAATTCTGTGAAATCCTCAAAAATCTGGATGTTAAACACCGAAACACTTTCTGTGCATGCAATTTGATTTTTTAATGACGACACTTCAAAGAAGTCAGAAATTCCTTGAATATTTTTACATCCATAATCAGTTCTGTAGGTTTCGTAAATGTTGCATGATTTGTTGTTGTTATAGTTATCGATTGTTATTGAACTTAATTCACAGTCGTTGTCTAAAATTATAAAAAGCCATTTTAATGTTAATGCATTTTGTAAGATTTAAGAAACGAATTTAACATAAATTGACCTTTTAAAGCTATTTTGTACTTACAATTTGGATCTTTATTTTTGTTTTTACTTCCAATTTTGTGATTTTTCCATTTTTTAAATTTCTTTTGACTAAAATTCATTTTTTAATAAACTTTTAAATACTTTTACTACAAATATATTAATATTATCTAAGCAGCTATTACGTTCCGATCTTAACATCTCCAATATTCAAACTAATGTGAAGGTTGATCAAAGCTAATATAACTTTTTTTTTTTAAAATAAGAGCCGGTTTTGTAGATGTGACGTAAAAAACGAGAAATTTTGTGGTATTTCGCATTAGACAAAAAAAATGGAAATTTGCATGGTCATTGGAATATTTTGCAATAAACTATTTACATATTTTTGTGTTATGTCGTCATTGATTAGGGTCGATCACTAAAGACGTCCAAAATTTATGAGGCGGGGGTCTAGTATTTTGTTACAACAAAAACCACGGTAATTTTTTTTTGCAAATTTTGAAAAAGAGGGGGAGGAGGGAGCGATGGGGGGGGTTCTAAAAAGTGTTTTTGACAGACGTCATTAAAGAACGACCCCATCATAATAAAACATTTTTAAGTGCATTTTCTTATCAAGAAATGATGCTTTTGTCTGCGTTTTTTCCGTCCGTTCGTACGTCTGTTCATCTATTTCCTTCTCAAGTTTAAGCTTTTTTGATTCAGTTTTTGGCTAATAATATTTGTATTGTGCCTGGCTAGAGCTGCCGAAAACTTACAACTGTACAGGAAAGTTAATTAAATTATCTTTTTCATAAATTTGACCTCGCGTTTTACGTATGTAATTTTTGACTACGTGCGTGGCTTTTCATACAATCCTCAGGCCTCGGGTTTGACCCAAGGGTGTGGAACTAAAGAATTGCATTTTGATCATTTTTGATCATTTTTGATCGATTTTGATCACTTTCGATATTTTTTTTGATCATTTTTGATCATTTTTGATCATTTCATCAGTACCACAACCTTGGTTTGAGCTTAAGTGGAAAAAGGAAGGTGGCGCAAAACTAGCTTACAGTGTCTCTTCTAGCGTTTCAAATGATTCCTTTGACCTTTTATTGACTTATTTATGACAAAAATGTCAACTTGCGCTTTCTTGAGCGGGAAAATCGGCAAAACCAATGGACAGCCTAGGGGTCGTTCACTTATGACGTTCATCAAAAAACCTGATTTTTAGAACCCCCTTCCCCCATTCTGTCACAAAAATTCTATGGAAAATAATTTCCATTGTTTGAACTGTCACAAAATCCTAGACCCCCCCTCCCCCTAAATGTCGGACGTCATAAGTGAACGGCCCCCTAATTATGACCGAGTAAAACTTACTGAAAAATTAATTTTTGATTTGTAATTCATTTAATTTTGATTCATAATTCGTTAATCTTTAGATCAGGGTTGATTTTGAGAGTTACCCGTGGTGCCCCAAGTGTGCAGTATTTTTTTCATACCAAATACTAACCTGAATGGAACAAGGTTGTAGATCGATCAGAAATACGGCACAAAGGTGGTGTGATTCTGGCATGGTGCTGGATTTATATCGAAGTCAGCACCATGTCAGAGTCATACCAGCTTGGCTCTGGATTTATATTCCATTATCCAACTTGTTTTGTGTGTTAATTACATCTTCCCCCTAGAGTTCCCTTTGGAGGCATGGAAACTAACCCCATGAATTTAATTATGACAATCATCTAAGTTTTAGACATTGTTTTATGAACTGTTGCTTAATTTGGTTGCAAAACCTTCAATAATCATGTTAACTAAGACGATCAAATTGATTTACATGTAAGTAATCGTATATATTGAAAATTGAGGATCCAAACATCACGAGACATTAGCTACTGTCTATAAAGTAGCTTATTAAGTTTAAATAATTTAATTTCCAGACTCATTACCTTCAACTCTATCAACGCGCACCAACTTAAAGCCGTTGAGTTAATCGATTGTGATTTTACTAATCCAGCTTCGCTAGAATGGTCCGAGATCCTGTGCTGTTCTGTTAATAACAATCTGTCAATCAAAAGCGAAGACACAAACATTTCAATAATGACTCCCATACCCACAGAATGTCAGGGATTTTCAGCAATCTACAAAGAAATCCATTATTTTCCAATTGGAATTGAGAAGTTCATTACAAACCTAAAAGGACTGCGAATCACAAACTCAGGATTGCTAGAAATATCGTCAAATAATCTGGAACCGTTCACAAATCTGACAGTTTTGGACTTGAAAAGGAATAAAATTGAAATTTTAGAACGAAATTTATTTAAATTCAACCAAAAGTTAAAATTTGTGGATTTGGACGAAAATGTGATTAAAATTATCGATCCGACAGCTTTTAATGGACTTAATAGCTTAGAACTTCTTAAATTTGGTGAGCATCAATGCAACAATGGTAAGATTAATTTGAATAATCTAATCATGACATCATGTTGGTCTAAAGAGATGGATGCTGTTAAGATCTACACAGAACATATTGAAAGATCCATAAACAGGAAAATGACTAAACTTATCAGCCAATTGGAAGAACAAATTGAATCAACACCTCAGCCAGAAGATCTAAAGGATTTTTTGACATTTTTCAATTCTATTGCTCTTATCGCTGTCTTAGTCATCCTAGTGAAATTTAAATTAATATCCAATAACTCATCAAACTACTCACAATCCTTCACAATCAAGCCAAATGATGAAAATTCTAGCAAATTTGACAACTCAGTAGCCACAAATGTTAACAAAATTCAGGATGACTATGAAAAAGTCACAAATGTAAATATTTATGATGATCCATCAAACTATGATGACTTATGTTCCTCGCTTGAAATTAGTCATGACACGTACTCAAGTGCTGTTGATGCTATAATTTACGAAGAATTGAAAAATGAGAATGTTTATGACATAATTTAAATTTATATTGTTTTGCAATTTGGGGGGGGGGAAGGGGTGGTGACAGGGGTAGGAAAAATTGATTTTTTTAAAAGGGAGGGTTCCCTCTTTTCCCAAGAAAAGAAATTCCCACAAAATTAAAGTAGGGGGGGGATTAAGGATGAGGGGAAGAAGGGGGGGGGGAGGGATTAAGGATGAGGGGAAGAAGGGGGGGGGGGGGGGAGTAGGGGTAGTAGGAAAGATAACTTGATTGAGACAGGGAAAGGAAAATTGAAGAGGGATTTAAGGGACAAAGATCAGTAATTTCTAAAATATTTTATGAATAATTGTTTATTTAAAGTTGGCCAAAATCCCCCCCCCCCCCCCATCCCCCCTAAAATATTCCATACAAAAAGTTTGTTTGTCCATTCTTCCACAAGTTCCTGGATACGCTCCTGCCTAAGAGTTTTTAGAGAATAAAATTCTTAATGTCCCCCCAAATTGAACGTCCTTAAAAACGTGTCCCCCCCCCCGCCACTCCACTTCTTCCTAACATGTGAGGGCCATCATTTCTCAAAAAAATGATGTAATGTCAGGGGAAAAACAACAAGCTGATAAATTTGAAGTCAATAATTTTATCATCATGTTGTTTTCCCCCTATTTGAATATTTTAAATATAAAAGTTTTCATTTCATGACAACATGTTTGGGGCCGTTCACTTATTACGTTCGCATTTTAGGGGGGATGGGCGGGGTAGGGGCGGGGGAGGGGTTTGAAAAATTGTAAAAAGTCGTTTTTTTGTGTAACGTAATAAGTGAACGGCCCCTTTGGAATTTTTTTACAATGTTTTTTTCCTCAATAAGTTGATTTCCCCTTGATTTTACGCTTCTATTAATTAAATGCTTCAATCTGAGTCACAAAATAAATGATTCAAGTTAAATTATTCGTTTTTTTTTTCATTTAAGTTAACATTTTCTAGTTAAAGTTTTGCTTGGATAAAAGTTAATAAAAATGAAATTAACATTGTAAGTCTCTTTAACTTCATATTTATTCGAGTGGAAACTTAATCTTAAAATTTATTTCTCTAGAATTTTCATCTTAATGGTCGTTAGATTCATTAAAAGTGATAGAATTCATTTTGATTGCGAATATATTGAAATAAAATTGGACATCATTGAAAAAAACATTTCAAACTGCTGCCGGACAACTGGATATCCAAAAATTAAAGATGATAATGATGTTTTGGTTCCATCGAACCCAAACTCTGGATCAAACGTTGACTGCTTTGTTGCTGAAAATAAGGAATTTATTTATTTTCCAAGAAAAATTGAAAACTTTGGCTCCGCCCTGCAATACGTGACCATAAAAAACTCAGGGATGAAAAAAGTTCCTGCAGAGAATTTAAAAAGTTTTAAATCTATCGAATATTTGGACTTAAGTGGCAATGAAATTAAAAATCTAGAAAAGAATTTGTTCACAAATTGTGGAAGTTTATTTTATATTGTCTTGGCCAATAACAAGATTCAGTCTGTTCATCCTACTGCGTTTGCTAGCTATGAACATTATAAATATTTAGACCTAAGGGGTAATAAGTGCATCTCTGACGTGTCTGAAGGACAAACTGAAACACTTAAACTTATAAAACGTGTAACAAGTCCGGAATCATGTTTAAAAGTATTAAGCACTACAACAAGCACAACTCGTGTCAAAGCAACCACAAAACCTAGTATTAAGGACACTATGAATCCAGATCTACGCAAGACAATTCAAGAATTAAAAGACCAAATTGAAAATTTTAACAACTTATCATCCAAATCTTCTTTAAATCACTTAATGTTACTTACATCCAATGCTATATGCTTCATCATTCTCATCATAGTCATCATCTACTTAATAGTCATCAAAAAGTCACCAAAAGAGACTCCAAAAATGAAAGAACTTGAAGAGGAACCATCAAAACATGAAGCTAGCGACTACACGACTCTCCAAGTTGAAAATGGCCCAACTGCACCGGAATATATTTATCAGCAACAAGCAAGCTATGAGGAAATAAGCTATAAATCTAAAGATGAGACAGTCACAATTAATCCAGATCTTGAAGATTTTTATGCTGAAATTGTCAACAAAGTTGAAGTGACAGAAGGTGTTGGTGACGAGAATGATGTCTACACTGTTGCTTATAAGTCAACGGATAATTTGTAAAAAAAAAGAATTTTTGGAACCTCCTTGCCTTGTTGGCTTTGTTTTAACTGTTATCAGGGGCGTAGCCAGGAATTTGAAGAGGGGGGACAAAAATTTTTTTTGTATGGGAAAATTTAAGTGGGGGGGGGGGGGGGGGGGATTTTGGGAATTTTTCATAATAACCCTAGGGGCTGTTCACTTATTACGTAACGCGAAAAAATGACTTCTTAGACCCCCCCCCCCCTCGTAACAAAATTTGTATGAAAAAAAAAATTTCCTTGTTTGAACCGTAACAAAATCTTCGACCCCCCTCCCCCTAAAAGCGTTACGTAATAAATGAATGGCCCCCTAGCAAAATAAAGAAATTTCTGTACGTTGGGAAATCCTCCCCCCCCCCTGGCTACGCGCCTGGCTGTTATCAAATCTAAGACCTTCTTCCATATTCTATGACTTAACCCCCTTTGAGCGTCATAGCTTCTCCTTACCCAAATTAATTTTGTTTGAAAATTTAAATTTATAATACAAATTTTTTATGACTCAAATATGAATAATCATCGACTTTTAATCATGTTTTTAGTTTTTTTCATTTAATTGCTTTTAATTTCTCATTCTGTTAAGTTAACTTTGCATGAAACAAAAATGATAAAAATCATTAAATTGTAAGAACTACAAAAATGAAGGAACTTTAAAGTTCAAATATTTAAAATTGTTCAAAACCGGAAATTCACTCAAGTTCATCTCAAACGGGAATCGAACCTCGCACCTCTCGATTGCTGGTCAAGTGCTCAGACCACTAAGCTATCGGGCTTTGCCTTTGAAAGTGGCAGAATGCCAATATATGTGAACCACTCTTTTCTGCTCTAGAGCTTATAACCTTTAAGGTTTCAACTAATTTGTCTCACAATCGCAAGATTATAAGCTCTAAAACAGAAAAAGTTGAAAATGAGTGGTTCATATATATTGGCATTCTGCCAGTTCCAATGGCAAAGCCCGATAGCTTAGTAGTCTGAGCACTTAATCGACAATCGAGACGTGCAAGTTACGATTCCCGCTAAGTTCATCCCATTGAGTGAATTTCTGTTTTTCACCAATTTTTAATATTGTAAGAAATTTATTTTTTTATTCCACAAAATTGAGCAAAGGTGAAGGACAGAAATATTTTTGGAGATAGTTTTTAGGAGGCATCTTCTAGGGATAATATTGTGAGACGGTTCCAATCAAGCGATGTGTTCCTATACAGTGCAACAAGCTGAACGCGTGATCCTGATCCACGATGTATTCTTCAAGAGAATTGACATTCCATTCTTGTATCCTGATTAATCGTTAAACCAGCCATCTGAAGCTATTTTGTTTAGCTTCATAGGTTGGAGCAGTAAGCAGTAAAAATGAGGAAACAAATGCTACTTTTTCGGAGCAGCACAAATCAATTAATCAATCAGAAATCCAGCACCAAGTCAATTGTGACTTCAGTATGGCACTGCTGGATGCAAATCAAAGTCATACCGGTTTGGCGCCAGATTTCTATTCGACTAACCGACTTATGCTGTTCCGGTTCGTTTGAACTTGCTGAATAAATGAAGCTAATGCATCTGTATCTTTATCTTTGCTTCCTGCTGCTACTTTTGAAGCTGATCCTTGGGAATAGCAATCAGGAGGTGGAAACATGTGATTGGGTGTAAAACCTTTACCATTTATTGATTAATGGCAGCTTAATTAGGAAGAAATGAAGTTCCTCCTGAACCTTATCTTAATATTTTGAAGAACTAAAGTTTGCTTTTTGCATTAAAATCTCAAATTTGATTTTAGATTGATGTTGGCTCTGTTAACAAAACCATCGAAGCTTGAAGTCATCAACTACAGCTGCAATATCACAGTTTCCGATCCTAATATAACAGGAGAGAAGAACTGCTGCAAAGTTGTTGAAAATCTAATAATTCTTGAAAAAAACATGACAATTCAAACTTCAGACAAAATCGAGGAATCAAAAATTGTATCTTTTTATGCTGCAAATAAGGAAATTCATTATTTTCCAAAAGGAATCGACGCAGACTTCCCAAAACTACAAAATTTAGTCATCAGAAATTCAAAGCTTCAAGAAATCACGTCAAATGACTTAAAAGAGTTTAAATTTTTAAAATATTTGGATTTCAGCCACAACGAAATTGAAGTTTTAGGTCCAAATTTATTCGATTTTGGAGTTACAATTTTGCAGATAGTTTTAAATAATAATAAAATTCAATTTATTCACCCAACAGCATTTAAACCTAGAAATGGCATGCATCACTTAGACTTGACTGACAATTCGTGTATTTCTGCTATGGCAAATGATCAATCAAAAGTTCTTACCTTCCTCAATGTTGTTAAAGCTTCATGTCCATTCTATCCTTTGCATATCAAGGAACTGCAGACGGAAGTTCAGGAGCAAAAAGAAAATTTAAGAAAAGTCGAGATAAAGATGGATGTCCTTTACATTGTTGTTGGTGCTGTCTTAATTTTAAATTTAATTTTAAGCATAAACTGCATCAGGAAGAAATTAGCAAATAATCATGTTGGGAAAGTTTCAAGCATTAGAATTCAAGATGCAGTCACCGCTCACTCGTCATTAAATGGTTTAAAATTAGACAGCATCTATGCTTCATATCAGGACATCGTTTATGAGTCAAATCCAAACAATAACGCACAAACAGATGACTTTTATGCTGAAACAGTCATCAATGCTGATAAGAATGTCGTTTATGAACGTACTACGGATTCCCATTCGTATTAATGAATAAAAAATACCAAGGGCTTGCATTTAAAGCTATGCCAGGTACTCGAACCTAAATTAAATAATCAATGAAATTAAATTTGTGGATTTAAGAAGGTTTGACGTGGGTTTGAAGCCAGGAGCACTAATTTTGTCAGGAATATTGTTCGAGGGATGTTTTTGTATGGAAAAAAATCTTGGAATAAAATTTGTTTTTCTTAAAAACCCTGGCAAACTGGAGATTTTTAGGCAAGAGATTTTTGCCTTTAATACGTCCCTAACCCCTCCCTCCACCTACTACGCGCCAAAACATTGCTAATCCATAGCTATGTGCTTAACACAGTGTTGCTCAAACTTTTTGTCCAAAGTCGCACACAGCATGCAGCAAAAAATTCTACGGCACACAGTTTGGCGATGCTGGCTTAGATCATACTTTTACTTATATTAATTTTTTAGGAGTCATCCACTTTGGGGTCGTTCACTTATTACGTCTGAAATCAACACTCAATTTTCAATAAAAAATTGAAATCTATTGTTCTATTCTTGCTAACCCCCCCCCCCCCCACCCACCTGGACGTCATAAATGAACGGCCCTAATGACGAACGTCTCAACCCCTTTCACAAAATTTGTAATGAAAAAAATTATTCGTTTGGAATGTCACAAGGTTCTACAAAACCCAACCCACTCTCTTTGCTTTTAATCATCACAGGAACATAATGCCTTACATAAAAGTGATGGGATGTGCCAACCTATGTGCACTGCCACACTAGTGTGTCAAGTAAAATTCGAGAAATTCTATGAATCATTTGTCGTGTGCTGTTTTTGTCATAAATAGCCACCAAGGTGTGTCGTGGCCCAAAAAAAGGTTGCCCACCACTGCCTGATGATATCACAAGAAACTTAATGACTAGATATTTACATGATTTATAGTTCTAATTTTTCTAAAATAGTTCTAAAGCGACATTTGATTAAAATATAAGAGATTCTGGCTTTAAATTAAGACAATTTTGGAGATGAAAACTAAGTTTAAAGTGTAAGTATCTATAAAGTCATAAGCATTGTTCGAATGCTTTATAATAATTGAAAGATCAGGCCTT